CCAACAACTAAGGAAAACATCAATAAAATCATGGCATATGCTTTTGTATTAAATGAATATCTGACTTATTCATTTACAGGCGAAAAGAAGAAAAATTCTCCATCATCTCCTTACCCAGGGAGAGCCACCGATATATAACATTTTGTTGTTCCTCTTTTTACTGCTTTTTTCCCCTTGAATTTCTCTTTTAACCTTTCAAAGAAACTAGAGTGTTGCATCATTCAGTTTACAAGAATCTTGTAAGGAAAGTCGGTTCTGTTTAACAAAGAGAGAAAACTGCCGGTCCCAGAGGTTCCGCTGTTTGAGCTCGAGCAGCAGTGGGTAAGCTTACCCCCTGCACCTGGCAGCCCGGTGCGTTAGGAGGAGCCTCAAAGGCAAACAGCTTCATTGGCAGCAAGTAACAAGAACACCCAAGAAACTAGAAAGCCAAGGAATTTCCCTTCCATATCAGGTGAACTGACAGAGATCAAAAGCTAGAAATGTGTCCACTGTTTTGAAATCCACCAGCAAGGAGTAGGTATGGTCAGGACTCCAAAGGAGAAGGTCCCCATCATGCCCATGAAATGACACGAGGCCATAAATGTCAGACACATCCAAATGAAAAGGGTGCCAGATTACGGTGGGGGGCACGAAATCAGTGGGTTCTCCCAGACCCAGGGGGGTGGAGAACCGTCCAATCATCTGCGGCCTTTCTTCAGCGCCCACTGCAGAATCCTGGCAACATGGGAGCAGCCGGTTTCCCACCACAAGGGAGCTGGGGGAGGGCTTGTGTGGATGTAGGCATGCGTGTCCCTCCTCCCCTGGGCTCAAGAACACCTGTGGAAAACGGGCTTTCGGGCAGATGCGAGGCCTTTGGGCCTGGATTCAGGAGGGCACCAGGCGGTCTGGAGAAGTGGACTGTCAGGAGTGCTGCCCAAGGAGACAGCCCCACCGAGAGTGCTCTTATTCCCAATTCCTCAAGGGGGATTGAAACAAGCTTCCCGGAGGAACTTCAGGGGACCAGAAGGAGGCTGGGCCAGGCCAGATAAGGAGGAAGGGAGGGGAAGTCTCTGAATGAGGAAACTGGTCCCTGCCAGAAGGAAGTCATTTCCCTGGCCCTCCAATCTAGAGGAAGAATCCAGAGGCAGGACAGAGGTTCGTGGGGAGAGGAGATAAAGGGAATTGGGTCAAAAACAGAGATATGAAAAATACAAAAACAAAAACAAAAAAAACCCCAGAGATATGGCAATGTTCTTCAAAAGTAAACTGCACGAGTCCAGTAAATGTGTGAGAAAATGTCCAACCTCATTGCTAAAAGAAATGGAAATATGACATCTTTCTTTTTTTTTTTTTTTTTTTTGCCTATGAAATTAGCAAAGAATAAAAATCAGGCTGTAAAATGAGCAAGCTTTCTGGAGGATAATTTAGTAACACATATCAAATGTGTTTAAAAAAATCTCATACCCATTGACCCAGCAATTCCACTTAAAAAGAAATCTCTCCTAAGGACATAATTAAGATATGTGCCCAAAGAAATACAGCAAAGTTGTTCATTTATAGTGTTTCTTATAATACCCGCCACTACCCCTTCAGGAGAGAGATAAAGATAGAGATAGAGCAAGAGCAAGAGGGAGAGGGAGAGAGAGGGAAAAAATGTCCAAAAATAGGAGCTGGGTGAGGTAAAATTGAGATTTCCCTATAGACTGGGACAGCATGCAGCTATTAAAGGCTATGTGTTGACAGAGGAAGATGTTTACAATGTAACACCATGTCAAAGTTTTTGAAACTTACATATGGTATCATACCACCAAACGAATCTTTATATAAAATATATAAATCTATGCATAGAGAAGTAACTGGAGAATCTTACATCAAAAAGCAAATAGACTTCATCTCTAGGGCAGGTAGAAATACAGGTGATGTGTGTGTGTGTGTCGGTGTGTGTGTGTGTGTGAATAGGTTTTTCACATTCTGCACTGAGCATGTGTTCTTTTTATAATTAGATGATATATTTTGATGACATATTATTACTTAAATAAACACATGGCTTACATTGGGATTTTTTTTTTTTTTAATTAAACATCCAGAAACTAAGGCTTCTGCATCACCTAGGTTCTAAAGGTAAATTTCTAAGTCCGTTTTTTCTCTGGAGATTTTCTCCTCAGCAGAAGCACATTCCTAAGTCTCTTTTCCACATAACATGTCTAAGCAGGCGGCTTTAACATAGAAGAAAACCACAATACAGGGCTAGGGAACTCCCCCCGCCCCTCAGACCCACCCCACTCCCAGGAGTGGCAGCTGCAGAGCCCCCCAAAAACCTGCAGGGGGCCTCAGACACCCAGCAGGTCTGATCCTCCCCAGGAGCCCTTTCCTCTCCTTCAGACATAGCTAAAACTAGCTCTGCCGGCTGACTATGGAAGTGTCAGGCAACGAGTTTTGTCACATATCTACCCTGATCCTTGACCCCCACAGCAGCAAATGCAAATTGCTATTTATTCAAACTGCCACTTGATTATGTTGAAACCCAGTTGCTGAACCCAGAGAGAACAGTCTTTATGGTGGGTAGGAACTTCCTGTCAAGGACAGTTAATTTTAATTTTTCCACTGAGCTCAACCTCAAAGTGAGGTTGATTGCTACTCAGCAAGATGGCCTGCATTAGTGGAAGCTTTAATTGAGCGCAGATCTATGTCCCAAAAGCATAATGTTTGTTGTATACATACTTTGGGACAAGAAGAAAAATGAAAAACAGTTCTTTCTGAGGAAAAATTGAAAGCAGAATGTGGTCCATAGTCAGGATGGCAGCACCGAAGACCAGCTGGGGGACTTGGGGGAACACTCCACCATCCCGTGGCTCAGTTCCAATGGGCTCTTTGCAAATGTCTCTAAAAGCTCAGTGTCTGCATTTAGGTCTCTCTTTCCCAAATACTGGACTCCATCATGGTTCTTCTCATGACCAAGAAAAAGCTCCAGGAAAAGAGCAACAGATCAGGGGCTCTTGGCCAAGGGGCCATGGCATATGTTTCCTGCTGCAACAAGGCTCCTTTTGGCCCAAGGTATTGATCAGTATTAACATTCAATATGGTGCCGTTGTCCACATCCTTTTATAAGCGACCCTAACATGAGCCCTCAGCTCGAGCACAATGCCACTTCTGGCTTCTTATTGTTATGGTTCCAGACCCCTGTCATCTCTTTCCTGAACTGTAGAACTGATCTTTGCCCTGTTGATGGGAGATGTCGTCTTAAAACCTAGTTAGGATCACCCCTCCCCAAACACGGTCAAAAGCTGTCCTTGAGCCCCCCAAATACAGATCTAGGGACTTCCACCCTCCAACCCCACACTCCCTCTCCAGACCTTTCTCTCCCTTCCTCTCACATGCTATGCTCTGGCCAAATCAGCTTCCCCCTCCCGGCCCCCTTCCCAGTCCATCAGCATGGCCTGCCGTGACCCCACCTACTCCAACCGCCTTCCTCTCCTGGCTATACAACAGCCTCCAACAGAGCTCCCTGCTTCTACTTTCTCCCCTCTCCAACCCATGTCCACACATCTCCAGACTGATTTTATAAAAAGGAAACAATGCTCACCGCTTCCTTAAAACCCACCATAGCAGGGGGTGCATTCCACCACACTATCAGTAAAAGGCAGGCTCTCCCCTGTGGCCTACAGTGTCCACTATGACCTGGCCCTGCCTACCTCTCCAACCTCCTCTTGTACCACTATCCCCTTGCTACTAGAGCCACACATGCTCACCTTCTCTTCTTAGCACTTGCTGTGTCCTCAGCCTGGAAGAGACACTTTTCCTCCTGCTCTTCCCCTGCCTAGCCCCTCATCCTTCAGTCTTAGCTTAATACTACCTCCAGCAAGGCCTTCTCTGACCACCTTACTTAAAGTAGGACCACAGCCTTTTGGCACAGCTCGTACAGCTAACTGAAATGATCTTGTTTATTCATTTGTTGTTTATTTGCTCTTCCCATGAGAATCTATGCTTCTGGAGCGTCCTTGACTAACCCGTTCACTGTTACATCGTCAGCCCCCAGGACAGTGCCTGGCACACACGGGATTCTAAATCATTATTTGTGATTAATGATTGATTACAGGAAGTAATACACATTTCCCGAAAGGCCTTCATTATCTCCAGCCTCCACCCCTTGGGCTATGCTACTTCCTTGCCCTTGCCTCCCTCTTCCCCTCTGTCACCAAGCGCTGACATTTGTAGTAAAGCAAACTCAAAGGGCCCTCACCCCTGAAAGTCCCCCCTGGCCTCTCTAGACATAAATAATTCCCACTGCTTCTGACAACCTACTTCTGCCCTATATTCCAAGGCCACCTACTTCAATGTGACTTTATTCCTTGTTCCTGGAAATTCTTGCCTAGAAAGGTAAGGCTAGAAATCAGAAAATCATGGTAGGCTCCAGGAACTTCTTGAAATCAACTCCAACAATAGACAACTCAAATACCTCTCCTCAGAAAAATGCTTTGCCCAACTAGGTAATGATTCACTCATTAAAGTAAGGGTTCGACACTGTGTTCACTACCTGTGTGTACATCAATGTCAAGAATGTTGCCCAATCCCAATCAATTCTTTGCATGGAAACAGCATCTTAAACCATTCATTCGAGCCCCAACCCACGAAACCCTATAAACATCTGGAAGGTTCAGAGGAGAGGCCTGCTTTAAAGATGAGATGAACAGGTCATTCTGGTGTCCTTTTAAGGGATATGAAATTTAGGGCATAGTGTCTACACCAGTTCTTCTGTGTTTGGTGAATGATGAAGGAATGAACGGACCAAGGACTAGCTCATCTACCCCACCCTTCATTCTCACCCTTCTCAAAGAGGCAGAGCCAGGAACATGCAGCCCAGGGGTCAGTTAGAGCAGGGCTTTGGATGACAGAAGTCCTTCATTTCAGTGACTAGGCCTTACTTTGGCACTGACAGCAGAAAACCAAGGGCAGCCCCTGAGAACCCCCCAGATCCAGGCCAAGGCACCACGCAGCTAACCAGCCTCTCCCCTTGTGCCCAGGGCGACAGCTCTGGACCGCTATGGGCTGCAGAAGGCCGGCTTCACGCACGTGCTGAATGCGGCTCACGGTCGCTGGAACGTGGACACTGGACCCGACTACTACCGCGACATGGCCATCGAATACCACGGCGTGGAGGCCGACGACCTGCCCACATTCGACCTCAGTGTCTTCTTCTACCCAGCGGCCGCTTTCATCAACACGGCGCTCAGCCTTGACCACAGTAAGAGACCCACCATGAAACAATCCCAACAAACCTGCCTGAGGCCCCACCCCTCACCTTGGCTGGAGATGTGATCTGTGCACTCACAAAGCCTGTTCTTGGGGGTTGGGAGTGATTGAGTTGGGATTATCTGAGCCCCAGGAGGCTGGGAGCCACCCTGAGCGTGCTGTTTGTGGTCTTAGGGAATTGGAGGGTTCAGAGGAAAGGCCTTTGGTCTGAATCCCAATTCCTAAGGCTCATTAGCGAGCTTGGAACAGCAAGGATGCTGTCTGCATGCCCTCAGAGGGACTATAGCCCAGATGTCAATTGTCCAAACCTGACTAATAGCTGAGGTTTCAAAGCCAGAAAAGCTTCAGGGAGCTGACTTGACTGGGAATTCATGGAGAGATTTCAAATTCTCCTGCCAACCAACCGAGCCCGCAGCCTCCCCTAACCCTCCCCCCACCAATACCACCAACACACAGTCTGGTGAGGCCCCCTATAGAAAGCCGACAACCTAGCCTTCTAAAGGGCGAATGATATAGGAGAACCTGAGTTTTGCACCCATGATGTCCAACTTCCCCAAGGTTAATTATCCATTTTTAAAATCACAGTGCTAGTCCTTGCACTCAAAATGCAGTTTTAGCCGGTCTAAGCCAGGTAAAGGCTTCACGGCTCTTTCCGAGAGAAGGGCCTGGCTTAGGTTTGCACGGCGGTAAAATAGTTTGCAATTATTGCTACAAGGGGGTGTCTCAGAGGCATTTCATAGAGACCAGAGGGACTTCTACTCCCTACTCAGTGCTCTGACTTTAGGCCCACGTTTCATACCCCTTTATGGGGCCATCACATTGTCCAGTTACTAAACGCCTTTCTTGCCACAAGAGACTGGGATTATGAGGCTCAGTGACTGGCTGACCAGCCTGCTTCAGGGATTTGCACTCTGCAGCTGGGCCCCGGCCGAGTCCCAGACCTTGATGGCCGTCCCCTAGTGGTCCTGGCCCCGCAGCTGGGCACCAGGAGTTTGTCATTGTTTTGGTTCAGAAAACAAAGTCCCAGTGAGGAAAACCCTCACAGAGCTGAAGGGCTCCTATTCGGGGATGCCTCATTTCAAAGTCACGCTTTTATGAGACTATTTGCGGACAATCTTTTGCATTATATGCAGTCTGGGTTTCTAGGCAGTAGGCCTCTGACTCATCAACGTGAGGTAAAATTCGCCTTAGATTATTTGAAGTTAACCGAAAACATATTTGACAAGAAAAAAAAAATGAGAAACTGCTATAGCCCAATCCTTTGGTTTCTGTTTAATGTGTACTCTTTCGCCATTACTGTATCTTCAAACTTTTTCTTAATGGAAGGGGTCTGGCAGGCTTTGGAGAAGACGGGGCAGGATTTCACGCCATACAACTTACTAACAACGTGGTTTCTCTAAGCCTTGCTTTCTCAATCTGGTGATGAAAATATTTACCTTGGAAGGTTATAATGAGCATCAGCAGTAACCCACATAGAGCACTCCACATGGAACCCGGTGCACAGCAGGTCCTCAGATGTGTTTGATAAAGGGAGGTCGTGCACCATGAAACACATAACCACTCTAGCATGTGTGCGCCATCGTAATACAGTTTCCAATCCCAAAAGAAAAGGAAAAGGAAAAAAGACTTTCCAACTTTGAACTAGTGCAGTAGACTCACATGACAGCTTGTTTTCAGTTCCTGGCGCACCATTTTAGAGTCCTCCTCCCTCTGCTGAATTTGGGAATAATGGGGCTCGCAAGGCATGCGTACTCCTGGGCAGATCAGAGCATTGACGAGGAGATGTCAGGCTGCGGTGGATCCTGACCCGTGGGCCACATTTTCGAAAGCACCTAGCAAAGAAAAGAAAGGGTCAAGAGAGAAAAGTATGTGCTCAGGTCAGAGACTAGGCAGGGGATAGAATCAGTGGGCAGGGGGTGTGGGTCTAGACCTGTTGGCTGGGCAAAGGGAACAGGATAGGATCCCATTACCGGGTGGGAGGCTGGTGGATCCCTTCTCAGTGCTTTGCACTTGAATATCCTCAAGTCTGGGGCTCAAATCAATTGCAGACCCTGAGGAACCTGGCAGGGACAGAAGCGAATGAAGCTGACTGTGTCGGATGTGTGCTTGTTGTGAGATGGAGAACCCCAGATTCTCCCCAAAGGGGGTGCTTGCTACTCCATCTCAGCCAACAAACATGGGTCTGGTGAGAATCAGTGCAAATGCGATTGGTCAGATTTTTCAGGAAAAGTCTTCAATCTGGATGTTAATGTGAAATTGCCCAATTTTTTAAGTGTTGGCAACACCTTGAAATTTTCTTAAAATACCACAAAGACCAAACCAAAGAAATCCAGAGACTGTCCCTTTGAAACCCATGCTGGGTCGTCAGACTAACAAAGTAAGATGCTCATTAGTCAGCGATGGCACTGTCGCAGACTCCATCCACTGGGGACAGCCTGTACTCGGCATCCAGGCCGTGTGCAGGGGCAGCATGGTGCGGCAGTCATTCATTGGAAGGCTAGGGGACGCGACTCGGGCATATGGGAGCCAGGCATCCTCATATGTTTCCTATTATACTCTTGATGTAAGAGGTGTTGATGGACAGTCTGGGCTGAAGGCAAGGCATCTCTCTCTCTCCCCTCTCTTGTCTTTCCTGTTCTTCCTTGGCTAGTTTCTGCCACGTGTACACTGTTTCCCAGTGCTGCCCCTCACATCAAGTCTTGTTTACTTTTGGTGAAAAGCCTTCCTTGTGGTGCTGTAGAGCTGTATCGAGGCTTGTAGTGAGCCCCGTGGGACCCACCCCTACCCCTATCCTACCCTGACCCTTCTCTTCTGAAAGAACTCCCGGGACAACTGTAGTCACGCTTGAAAAATCTCAGAAATAAGCTAGTCCAGTGTCTGGCCCTTAGAGGCGGGGAAACAGACACCCAGAGAAGCCAAGTGATGTGCCCAGGGTCACAGAGCTAATCAGAGGCCAGCAAGAATTCCTCTGGTCACGCAGGCTTCTCGGAAGAGTCCTTTGGCCTTATTCTGAACATCCGGTGAATTTACCATATAAGAGGTCACCAAAAATCATGAAAGGTGAGGCACTCCAGATGGTTATAAGGTCTGGAAACAACTGAACGTGTCACTCTTCTGCGGAGAGAGATGTACCAACAAAATACTGCCGTGGAAACCCCATTTGGACGGCCTTAACTGCTCCTGGCATGGTGTCCTCGGAGGTGAAGTTGTGTGGTTTTAATTTAAGAAATCCCAGGGCCAATACTGGGAAGCTCTAAAGATCAGATTTTAGTATCACCCCTCTCCTTTTGTTCTTTCTTTTTCTTAAACAGTCCATAGCCTGCTTTTGAAGCCATCTTAAAATCTATTATGGATAAGGCAAGTATGAATAAATAAATGAAGTCCACTTTTGAGCAGAAGCTTGGCTCTCTGGTGCTTCAAACCTTTTTTTTTTTTTCCCCCAAAGATTTTATTTATTTGACAGAGAGAGATTACAAGTAGGCAGAGGGGCAGGCAGAGAGAGAGTGGGAGGAGGAAGCAGGCTCCCTGCCTAGCAGAGAGCCCGATGCTGGACTCAATCCCAGGACCCTGAGATCATGACCTGAGCTGAAGGCAGAGGATTAAACCACTGAGCCACCCAGGCAGCCCTGGTGCTTCGAAGCTTTAACCAGAGCAGATTTTCAGGGTGTTTTGAGATCCTCCTGCCCCACCGCAGCACACACGGGCCTGCCCCTCGCAGTTCAAAACACAACATGCACCCTCTGTCTGACGCCTTCCAACATACCCAGAACCATTTCGGGAAATGTAGGAGCTCTGTCTGCCTTTGCAGGCTGCTGAGGGAAGGAGGTGAGGGAGAGACAGGCAAAGAGCCTTCCTCCAAAACCAAGGCAGGAGGTTGTTTATAAGAGTCCACCCCTGGCAGGGGTGGGGTTGAGTTGAGGGTGAGGGGGGTTGGTGGGTAACAGGTTTGGCCTCTCTATCTGATTTGAGTGGCAGAGGCCTATCTTTTGATCACCAGTGAAAATGTGCACCTGGAAAGCAGCAGCAGCTCTGGATATGGGTTTTTATAAGATTGTGGGAATTCACCTTTTGGTAAAGGCCAAAGGGAACTATTTCATTGAAATGTCCATTTTCAAGACACAAACTGGGACCTCTCAGAGTGTTATAAGAATCCATTTAGTGGGTGCAACCAGCATTTCTTTTAAGAAAATGAATGGATTAGAAAAGAATTGTGGCAAAAGTTCGTATGACCTTGTGGAGCCTCTGCCTGCTATACACACGCTTGTGATATGGCATAGAATCCAAAAGCTCTGAATGTGGGGTCAGGTAGCCGGGGTGGGAATCACTGTTCTGCCACTTCCCAGCAAACTGGGCCGATCACTTCTTTGCACTTCGTGTCCTCTGTGACATGGGGATGATAATTGTGTCTCCCGCATCCGTTGGCTGGGCCAACTGACTGACTCTGGTAAACTATGTAAGAATGTACTTGGCAGGGGCGCCTGGGTGGCTCAGTGGGTTAAGCCTCTGCCTTCGGCTCAGGTCATGATCCCGGGGTCCTGGGATCGAGCACCGCATCGGGCTCCCTGCTCAGCAGGGAGCCTGCTTCCTCCTCTCTCTCTCTCTGCCTGCCTCTCTGCCTACTGTGATCTCTCTCTGTCAAATAAATAAATAAAATCTTTAAAAAAAAAAAAAAAAAAGAATGTACTCCGCAGATTTGGGGGTGAGGGGAGGTTCCACACGTGTAAGCCATGAATGGTTGTTCATGCACAACGGAGGGAGAGCCACTGAGATGGGAAATGCCAGTCCCGACGTAGCTACCTTCGCGCTTAATGCTGGCTGGCGTTAACCAGAGAGCCTGGGGGAGGCTCTGGTGTGGGTGCTGCAGGGAGAAGGCCCAAGGCCACTTCTGTGCCCTTGTCCTCTGAGCCCTCCCGGGAGCATTCTCACGCTGCACCCCAAAGGGTGCTGCTTAGCAGAGCCACGGAGCAAAGAGGGAGTGGTGCCTGGGGGTGC